CAAATTTCTAAAGTCCAGGCATCGTTTCGCATTCAATGTCTGTCTGAGACGTCTCGTTTTTAGTTTCAAAAGGACGTCGCAGGATCACAATTGCTCGTGGCGTCAGGTTGGGATGGAACATGCCGCGTATACGAAGTAGGAAAGCTCGGAGAGTTTTCTGAAAAACTCGTTTTCACACACGGAAAGCCTCTACTGACATGTACATTTGCTGTAAGTTTTATTCGATAAAATAACGCATTTCACATGTGTATCGTTTTAGGGTTACAACAAAGTCGCCTTCGCAGGTGTGGATCACAATGTGAAACTTGCCGACATCGAGACTGGAAATGGAACACAGCTCGGATCGCATGCATTGGCAGTTCGCTGTCTGGAGTTCAACCCCATTAGCAGTCTCATCGTCTCTGGTGGATGGGATTCTTCCGTGAAACTGTGGGATGCACGAAGCTATGGAAATGGTGCAGTTGATTCCGTGAATGTGTCCAGCAGTGTTTACGCCATGGATGTTCTCAAGCACATGGTTCTTGTTGGAACAAAAGATCGGAAAATCTACATGTTCGATAGTCGCAAACTCAGAGAGCCAGTGCAAGTTCGTGCCATCGGAATCAGTGGAGTCTCAAAAAGTTTCAACTGAACTTCCCTCACCGGAGTCGAGGGCTTCGCTACAAACTAAAAAATATATCAAATTTCAAACCTATTTCTGCAGGTAATCGGGTACAATGAGCCGCGCGGTATCGCGCCTCATTGAAGCATGCAGTCGATTGAGCATCACCCAACGAGCTCAACTTCATTGTAAGTTTTTCGAAAAATGACTGTAATTAATATTCCATTCGAATTATTAAAGATTTGCGTCCACCTCCAGCTACATCTATTTTGCCTCCAGGACCCATTCCATCATCTACTATCATTGAGAAAGGTTTCCCGGCAAATGGCACATATCATTTCCCTCAACCCACTGTTTCCATTGATCTGCCGGCTCTTGAAAATCCACAGCAGGTGAGTGATTCCACGATAATACGAATTATAATCAGCAAACACAATTTGCAGGTGTACACCTTCCCCACATTAAATAGATCGCCGATGGTTGCTCCTGGTCCGATTCTCACAGAAATTTTAGAGAAACTCGCCCCAACTGTAGAAAAGGGCTCATTGATTGCTCCCGGAACTTTGGACAAAGCACCCATGTGGTTGTCCCCACGTCTTCTCACAATCCGACGCAAGAAAATGAAGAAGCATAAGAGACGAAGGCGATATGATCGAGACTTTTTCAAATACCAAAAATATCATAGAGAGAAGAAACTGAAGTCAGAAAGAGAGTTCCAGAAGAGAATGAAGTCTTTGCTAACGGAGTTAGAAGCATTCGATCCAGAGAAATATGTGAAAGACACCATCAAAATGGCTAATAAGGAATGGCAGGATGAGTTGGCGCCGACTGGAAGAAAACTTTATCCACATTGGAGCAGATTCATGAGTTTGGAGCAATTGTATGGATTACCAAAGAGCGAGTACATTGACAAGAGGTAAGCTTTGGCACTTCTTCACTATGTAAATGAACGTTTTTTTAGATCTGGACTCCCAACACCGGAAGAAGCCGAGCAAATCAAGGCATTGAAGGAGAAATACGCAAAGTTGTACCGAAAAAAGTAGAGGGCACTTTTCAAATTTTTTTTGTATAGGGTAGATTGTTTTTTGTTATTTTTCTGTTTTGTTTTCGAAAAAAAAGTTTGAAATTATTTGAAAATATTGGACTATTCTATCTAAAGAGGAGAATACAGATCACATTTGCATCATA